GAGAGAGAGAGAGAGAGAGAGAGAGAGAGAGAGAGAGAGAGTTACAAAATCAATAATCCATACATTTTGATGGACTGCGAGCTTGGGAAGGAACAAAGCAAAAAACCCACAAATAGACCATAATCTTCCACTTTCGAGCTCTAAAGTGAACACCGACCATAAAACATCATAATTACTTTTAAGTGATTGATGGCCTACAAAGAAAGATTTGCATGAAAAATGTAAATCCTACATGTACATTGGAGTTCAAAATTACCTTTTCTTCATCACAATTAACATGGCCCAGTTTCACCTTCCCCTTCAAGTTATTTGCAGCTTTCTTCCACTCAGGTGCCAACTTTTTACAGTGTCCACACCTGGAAGGGAGAAAAAGAAAATTAAAGTGAAACCACAGTTCGCTCATAACACCTTAGAATCTTAAAAACCTCAGGAATTGCAATTAAATTAAGCTTAGTTTTCAATTAATGGAATTTTTATGATTAAATTAATGGAGTTTGATGTTTCCATAGTTTCATGCAAACAAGCATTTGATTTTACTTAGTTTCTATTTAATGTAGAACAACTTAACCACATGAATTACCACCTTCAAGAATTTATTATATTGACGCACTACCAGTTGATAGAATGAGTAGGCAGTGCTTCACATTTGGAAGCATTGGAATGACTAATCAAACATATATAAATATGACCTGGTTACCAGATGACCAATCAAAATTATTAACAGTGAGAGATATTTACCAGGGTGCAAAGAACTCCACGATCCAAAGATCTTTACTTTTAAGTACCATATCATCAAAAATTTGAGAGTTCAGTTCTATTGATGCGCTTGGTTCAGATTTCTCACTTGATCCACCTGCTGGCTTCTCATTCAAGCGTTCCTTCACAAGAGCCTTAATCTGTAGAAGACTAAAAAGCATGTTAGCCATTATACTTTTCCTTGACATTTGTTCAGATTGACAGGAAATTAAGAAAAGAGAATCCCAATAAATAGGTAAAGGCAAGACGCAGACACTGTAAAAAATTGCATGTACCATCTCATCCCAGTTCACACAGGCACAAATATGGGAAGCAGGATGACTCTTCATTTCCTAAGATTCCAAGCATAGATATGGGTACAGATATCCCAATTAATATGCTTATTTCATGCTCTGTCATCTATCTTTTGAATCTAAGTCTCACTTATTAATACTTGTATCTTTACAAATTTAGTTGAACTTCTAAAATATACCGATCTTTTATGGGGACTCAACAGTCGTGTGCTGGAAGAGGAGGAAAAATGCAGGTTTGTGTGTCATAAGGAAGATAAAATAATTAGCAGAGGAGCTGATAACAAACTATAAGTGGAAATTAAGGTCACCAAAACAAGGAGCCCCTAGAAATCATACAATTGCTTTCTAGGAAAAAGAATTATAATATGAATAGTTAAACCACAAGAAGTTAACCGGTGCGGGTTGAAGGTAATAAAAGAACAAGAGAAAGACTCAAATGATGTAGATAAGTAGATCGAACTAATGATGAAAAGAATTGAGGATTAACAAGTACAAGTTGACAGACTATAAAGTCCCTAATAAAGTGAAGCAGCAGATTGGTACCCCAGGTAACAAGGACAACGCTTTTTTAAGTTAGATGAGTTTAAGACAGTAAATATGAATGAATTTGGCTCGTCAGCTATATACCCTATTACAAGGATAACATTAAAATTTAAATTCTTTCCCTTGTTCTTATTCTTTTCCTAGTAGTATCTATGTGCAAATAAATTTACTCTTTCTTCTTTGAAACTTGGGAATTTTGCTGCATGAAGAGAGATGACAAAAAAGGGGGCTAAGAGGAAGCAAGTCTTCAGCAGAAAGAAAAATAGTAACCCACACAACAAGAATTTCAAACTCCACAAATTGATAAGTCAACCTGTTTGAGTGCAAATTCTGCAATGGCTTTGGCATCCCTTGCTCCTTGGTAATCTACTGGAGGCTTTCCAGGTACAAAAGCCTTTATTGTCGGAAACCCTTGTATACCATGCTCCTAAATAAAACACACGATTGAGCATTAGCACATCAGAAACAATAATGGAGAAACTCCAGATTGATACATTAAAAAGAGAGGTATAGAAAAAAAGAAAAAAGGAAAATCCAGATTGAATAAAGCAAAACAGAATAAGCACCTCCATACTCCATAATATAAAAACTTCTCATGAGAAGCAATGTGATAGCCCTAGCTCAATTCTTTCTAGAAATCATAGAAAGAATTTACATTCAATGGACACTGATTGTCTAGTTTGAGAAAAAAAATGGCATGGGTAATTTGAACCTAACCTCCTGTTATAAAGAAAGTTCATTTGCACTAATCACAACAACTTCATTGACCATCTAAGGTATACACTAAACGGAAGGAGCTGGAAATAGTAAACCTAACTTATTTAGAGATGAGCAGCCAAATGAGTGTCTGATCATGTGCAACATGAGTGGTAGAGGCACATGGACAACTGATTACATGAAATATTGATACATGAAATTGTATTGTACTATCAATGATAAAACTGGTCTTCAAAATGTAGTCCAGCCCCCAGATAACCCTTTCCCTGTTCTAGACCCTTAGCACCTATACTGCAATAAAGGCAGCACCTGTGATTAAGATTTTGCATAGCCATTGCCAAAAATACTAAAAGTGCCAAGTAAAGACCCTGTGACTCCAACTGAAAACATGTTTCTACAAAGATCTTATAAAACTTGTGGTGAAAATTCTCTGTTTATCTGTTAATTAATAAATCTATTTAACTATCTATCAGCATTTACAAGATCCATGTACCATGAACAAAGGCAAGTAGGCAGTCGCTTATCTTTCTACCCAGCCTCTTTAAGGCAGTAATCAGATCAGGTTATGGATCTATAAATCAATCCTGCAAATTTTGGAATTCCAGCTAAAAGATTTCAGATGATTAGCTATTATATCGAATCTACCCAAGAGAGGGTTATCAAATAGACTAAATAACAAGATGATCTCAAATTCACTCAAATCATTGTAATATGTCCCCTAAAAACCCATCAATTTCTGAATCTCAGACTTCGTTTAGGTTGTGTTTGGCTTGAAAGAAAAGGTAGGGAAAAGTGTACCAGGTTTCCCTACCTTTCCTTTCAAACCAAACCTAGCATTAATGAACACAAAGGGAAGAAACAGAATTTAATGGGACCAGTTCTCTTTTCCTTTTCTTATAATTTGGAATGAAGAAACAGAACAAGAATACATATACATAATAGTGATTTTCTCTATTACTAGATTGTCATCATCATCATCATCATAGTTCAAACTAATCCACAAATACCAGTTTCTTTGTTAAAAAGTATGATGCATAATCTTTTTACCATAATGCTTTAAAGCAAAACTTCGCATTTAGCTGAAATAAAGATAACCAATCAAATTCTATATGCCAAACCTGAGCAAGTGACTTGTGTGCATCAGCATCAAGAGCTGCTACAGTGGCCACGCCCTTCAACAAGGTGGCTGCCTTCTCCCATGTGGGTGTCAGAGCTTGACAGTGGCCACACCATGGCGCAAAGAACTCAACCAGAACAACTCCATTTGAGTTTAAAACCTGCCACCATTTATAAACACTCAATTACAAAAAACCATTGCATAGATACAAGAGTTTTTTCATTCTCACCATTCAATCTAGATGCCTTAGCCAAGCAGCTAACTTACAGAAGGAAATCCAGCATATGGTATTGAGATTATGAAAAATTTATTATGTTTTCTTCTAAAATGATCTTTGGAAGACTATTTCAAAATTAATAGTACCCCTATTATTTCATTTTATTTTTTCTGGGCAAATGTTGGGGTGAGAGAGGAGGGTGAAGGCAGGATACGATCCCAAGTCGGTGGGAACTAAATCCACTGACTTTAGCGGCCGAATCAGATGGAACCTTCATAGTACCCCCTTTTATTGCTTACGAGTTACAAGTCCAGCGACCAAAACTACAATGCTGTAGGACAGAATAAGCATTTCCACCATTGATAACTTGGCAAATTTTTAAAAAATAGCAGCAATGTTGCAGTTGTATCAACATATCATGTTATGATACTAAGATTTTCCTTTTTACGCAGATTAAAGACTGGCTACGATACATCATTGAATATAAGAAGTTAACTTCTATTTCTAAGTTCACAGTATCGCTAAAAACAAAATGTGAAGCAGACACGAGAAATTACCAAAATGAAAACAAAAATCCATTACCCAAGACCAGAATTTTGAAAGAAAACCCAGATCACTCATTATATGGAAATTCAATGAACTGTTTTTCCTTGGATGGGTATGGTAAGTTTGACATAAAAATAAGTCACTTTTTCTTGTATCTGCTATGGGTGTTTAAACCTTTAAATTTGTTGCACTTTTTTTCTTTTGAAATATTTCCTAAAGTTTGTTTTGACATAGGATCTGAAAATACGAACAAGTAATGGGTAATGTTAGATCGATTACCTTGTTCTTGAAGTTGGAAGGACTTAATTGAACTACAGGAGATGAAGGTCCATAAAGCGCATCTACACGAGCTCCAAGCTGGAAGAATAATAACAGAAGAGCGATCAACAGTGGCAATGAGGAAGACATCCTTTCCCTCTCTCTCTCTCTCTCTCTCGGACTCACACAGACACTAAGTTGCGGCCAAAATCAGAGCCAAAACCTCCAGAAACCCCTAAAATAATTCTTGCCAAACTCTGGTTCGTAATATTTTTTTCCTCTGTTCGGACTGCTGGAGCTGGACACGTGCATTAACCAATGAGGATCTTACACGTATTGCAATATTAGTTTAAGGGGAAATTACAGTCGGCTGCCACAGGTTTTCTTTGTTTTCATAAGCAGTCAACTACCTTAAAATTTATAAATTACCTAAAGCAGCTTGTTTTAAGTTTTGTGAATTTTTTTGGGATGCTAAAATAAAATAAGAAAAATTCTGGATTAGTACCTACTTTGTGCCCAATGCTACTTTGGTCCCCCAATTTTAAAATGTAATAATTCAGTATTTAAATTTTCAAAATATGACTATTGAGTACCTACTATTAATCATCTTAAATGACATTTGAAAAGGACACAAATACCCTTAGAGTGTCATTTAATTTTCTTTATCAATCATCTAAGCGTTGACAAAAATTTAAGTCTCAAATCCTTACTTCTATTAAAAAAAATTAGGATTACATTTGAGTGGGCACTTTGGTGACTTTAACGAAGCAAGAATTTGCCTCCTTTCTTAAGCACATGGTAATAATTGAGAATTTTCCCAATAAAATACCTTCCTTTCTTGACTTATTTTCCTCTAGAGGCAAATGAGATCACAAAAGCATAGCTCAAGGATTAAGGGCAATTTTGTATTTAATAGAGTATAAACGTTAGGAGGATTAAAAGAGCACTGTAGAAAGCAGTTACAAGTTATTTTTAAACTTTTTGGCATTGCCGTGTAAAATGTACGTAAGACTGAAGATGGTCGAAGTCGAACTGTGTTTGGTTTGAAGCCTTTAATCGGCCCAATGCCTTAAGGCTTAATCAAACCAAACACAGCCTTAAGGCTTTAATCGGCCCAATGCCCAGGCTCAGGCCCAGGCCCAGGAATCCGGATTTGCTTATCATTTACGATGCTCGGCTACGATATGTTGTGAGGCCCACTCTAGGAGGAGCAAACCCTATTTCCATGCCTAAAGGTTCAAACCAGGCCATAACCAGGTCCAAGCTCAGACTCTGCAGATCACCTGCCAACAATTTTAAAAATCCTGAATAGGTTATTATTCTGTAACAATTTTAAAAATTAATATCTATTAAAATAAATCCTAAACCTACAAAATTATATTATAACATAGAAATTAAAAAGAAAAAAATACAAAAGAATAGAAAGGGATTGTTGGATATAATCAAAGAACCTATCTAATGGGCAAGTTTGTCTCGTCGAATGAAATCAACAAGTTTAACGAGGAGTTTTCGCTTTTCGGTTAGTTATTTATCCGGATAGATGCACTTATTAAGATAAGTATTTTTTAGGAAAGACTTATTAGGGTAAGTGTATTTACCCATGTTCTTTTATTTTTCATGTAAATAAGGCAATGACAATTTTAAACATAAAAATCCATTATTGATAAAGACATTTTTGTCCCATTTAAGTATTGGTAAGTTTTTCCTAGGTGGGAAAATTATTTTTCACTTCCCACTTACGAAATGGTAAGTGATACCCAATAAAATAAATGTTCCCTCATTCCCACATAAATCTGAAAAAATAATATAGGTTTTTTGGTCAATGGGAATCAAAACCCCATTGATGTAGGTTTTTTGGTCAATGGGAATCAAAACCCCATTGACCAACTTTTCCCCTCCCAAAATCCAAAAAAATAAAAAAATAAAAAAAAACGTCTCCTCCATGTCCCATTTTATCCTACATACTTTGGGATGATAGAGGCAAACTTATATATATTTTAAAATTCGTCCATTGCTTCTTCTAAATCCTGTTTGTGGAAAGTAGACCATTGCATGAAAATTATTCTTGTGGGAAATTCAAGGAATTATGAGGTAGTGTGTAAATACAGTGCCAACAAAAATACCATACACATAAAAAAATGATGAATGCACAGGGAACTATCATTCCTATAACAACCCTTAATGCCTTAATGATTGTAACCAATAAGCAATAATTAGGGTTGTTGACGGGTCGGGTTGGGTCGATTTACTGCAGTTTTTCCAACCAACCCGACCTGGTCGGGTTACCTGACATAGAAACCGAAACCAACCTAGTGTTAAGAAAAATCGACCTGGTCAGTTTGAGTCGAGTTGGGAGGGTTTGGGTCGGTTTTGGTTCTAAGTTCATCCCTGTGATAAAATCTTGCTAATTTTAAAACCAGTCATAAATTGAACATCATTTCAGCCATCTCCTATGATAAAATTTAAATGAAAAGTTAATCACAAAAGTTGTTCATTAATCACTATTCACTAATCCAAAGTTTCTTGTAACCATTCAAAAACTAGGTGGTAGCTTAATGGGCTTTGGAACTTCATGTTTGAACTAGGAACTAAGTCGGTTCAGTTCGGGTCGGTTTTGGTTTTCTTGTATGAAAACCGAAACCAACTCGAATCATCGGTTTAGGAATTTGCACAACCCAAAACCGACCCGTGCTGATGAAAACCCAGCCGACTCAGGTTGGGTTGGTCCGGGTTGGTCGGTTTGAGCCTTCTTATGAACAGCCCTAGCAATAATGCTTCCAATTGATTTGGTCAGGCAATCAGTTTCATTTCACCCTAAAACCGCTATTGGGTTAAAAACCACTGATTTGGTCAGTGATTCATTGACCCAGGCAGTTGAACCATCAACCCCCATGTTCTAACCAAATAGTTAGACTGTTTGACTCAAGAATCGGCCCCCCAAAACGATTCTTTTATCCAATTTTTAAAACCTTGATCTTGAACTTGAAATGGTAAGAACAAATAGGAATGGCAATAGGGTGGGGCGGGGCCAGGGTTTTGTTTTCCCCGTACCCAACCCCAAATTCAAACTCCTCACCCCAAACCTTGACGAAGCTAAAAATCCTAACCCTATCCCCATCCCTATGGAGAATGGGGATCCCCAATTTTGCCCCGCCCTGCCCCAATGATTCTTACTTGTATAATTATTAATTTATTATTTTAAAACTTAATTAAAACTATTTTATATTATGTAATATAATATAATATATATATATATATATTATGTTATATAATATAATCGGAACGGGTACGGGTCAAGTAACCATTTCTAAGAACGAGATTGGGAGGACGGTAATATGGTCATAGCCACAAGTTCTACCGCGATCTCCGCATTAGAAATATGAATGTATTCTTCTCCAAAAACTCGCCCTCTCCTACAACTGCACTTTGAGAGCTCTTTGTGAATTAATTGTATATTAAGACTATTTCCTACAAAATTTAAGCTACATTCTCTACCGTCCGTTGAGACTTTGATACTTTGATTTCTCTTGTCTATTGATTTTTCTGTTAATTTACTTTTACCTCTTTTTATCATTCGTGTAGAAATAATGAGATTCAATGAATTTGCATCAAATCATAGAATTTTGGATGTCATATAACTATAACTTGAATATTCATCAAGCCAATAGCCATTCCTACAATACTATCTATTGAATTTATGGCCGTTTCACAAGTGGAATATCTGTCAAGTAGGGCATTTTGCAAAGGTATATCAGCTGTTAGATCAGATTTGATTATTTGGGCATGAATGAGCTTCCCACCATTGGAAATTAGATGTGGGTTGGGATTGAATCAAAATTTCGCATACTGTAGAAAAGTTGATGTAGAAAAAAACTAGGTTGGAATGTAAATGCAAATATATATACTCTATATTTATTCTTTTTTTGGTTCATGAATGCAAATACGGTTCAGATTTTAATCCGTTTTTGTACTCATCTTGTTTGTTTGAAATCAGTGCTAAGTGCGGGCTCCAACTACCTTATGCTCTAATGCTTTAACTTTGGTTAAAAAGTTGATTATCAAAAGAATACAAAAATGTATCCAAAAAATAGGTATAGTAATACTCTATTTTCATAGTACAAAACATCAGAAGATACATTTTTTATCTAATAATCATTAATTTTTTACATGTCAAACAAACATTCACAAACATGAACCACAGTACATAAATACCCCGGTTTGGCGTTTGTATTACAAACAAACAAAGCCTTAGGGAGTTGCAAGCAGTGGCATCTTTATTGATGAGATGTTTGAAGATTTTATTTGCAGAATCTAAGATACTAGGGCTGCTTATCAAACCAGTGAAATCATTTAAAGACCAATCCGATCTAATTTGACCTGAGTTGATTGATTTTTTAATATTTTTGGTTGGTTTTGGTCTACAATTTTCCCAATCCCACTAGGTCAGGTCGGTTTCTGTTTGGCTGTTTTTAAATTAGCTAGATCAGGCCATAAATATGTAATAGTATTTTATATTTAAATTTATTTTTTTAATATGAAAAAATGGTAAAATTTCCATATTTCCTAATCTAAAATATTTTATATTGTAAATGTAAATTTCTTAACTTAATTGTTTAATAATGCTGCTGTAATTTTTTAATTTAAATCTAATTTTTTAAGTTTAAATTATTTGAACTGACCGACCAAACCAATACAATCCGAATTGACCGGTATTCATTAATAGTAAATTGGTTTCAAATGACCAACTCTCTCTAACCCAACCAGATAGATTCAATTGTCCAAACAAATGAAAACCAAACTGAACCAACCCATGAACATCTCTAGACATTACAATTGGAGTATACAGGGGTAGAGGGAGAGGACCCAGAATAGTTAAAGAAGTGGAGAGGTTGATGGATTAAGGAAATAGAAAGTGGACAGAGTAAGGAAGAATCTATTATTGGATTCATGAAACTTTATTGTTATCTTATTATGATGTGACAAACATGGCACCTTCCCATTGGACTCTCATCCCTTCATTGACCCACCCAATTAGTCCAGTGACTCAATGATCTGGTCACAATTAACATTCAATGGGCGCAGAAAATCCGATACCTGATTCAATTATCGCACATTTGAATGTGGATTTAACCTCATCCAATCTGTAGTATTTATATAAATAAATAATAAGTTTATAGCCGAAAATTTTAATACAATTTATTATACATATGAGTTAAGCACTTAAAATAATTATTTTTTATTTTTTGTCAT